GATCGGCCTAGTAAGCCATTTGATGAAGTATCCAGAAGTACTCCATCGTCTCGCAAGGCAGGAAGGACGCCATATATATATTTTACCATTAAGTTATCCCGGCACCGTTGATATAGCCTCTACGTAATAGGCTCTTCCCCTCTCCTTTGTGCTGACGGTTCTACGCTCATTAAAGACAAAGAGACAAAGAGAAAATCTTGGAAAGATGGGCGGAACACTTAGAAAGTGTGCTCAATACACCTTCCATCATTAATGATGAGGCCATTGAAAGACTCCCCCAGGTCCCAACGAACAATTCACTGGACGCCGTCCCAACTTTTGATGAAATACAGACAGCGATCCGCCAAATGTCCAATGGCAAAGGACCTGGCCCCGACAAGCTTCCTGCCGAAATCTACAAGGAGGGTGGACCAGCGCTGACGGATAAGCTATTGCGCTTATTCCAAATCATCTGGCAGACGGAAACTGTACCACAAGATCTCAAGGATGCCTCAATTATCCACCTGTACAAACACAAAGGAAACCGCCAGGCATGCGACAATCACCGCGGAATTTCACTACTGTCCATTGCAGGCAAGATCTTGGCCCGAGCCCTTCTGAACCGCCTGAATGCACATCTGGAGCTAGGTCTCCAACCCGAAAGTCAATGCGGTTTCCGCAAAAAACGCGGAACCATCGATATGGTGTTTGCTGCTAGACAGCTTCAAGAGAAATGCCGGGAACAAAATGCAGACCTATATTCTACATTTATCGACTTGAATAAGGCCTTTGACAGGATCAATAGAGGTGGCTTGTGGAAAATCATGAAGAAATACGGATGCACAGACAAGTTCACAAACATCATCCGTCAGCTGCATGATGGTATGATGGCCCGAGTGCAGGACAACGGTCAATCATCTCCAGCTTTCCCCGTCACAAACGGTGTAAAACAGGATTGTGTTCTTGCTCCCACACTCTTCAGTATTATGTATTCCGCAATGCTGTCTGATGCGTTCAAGGACTCCACCATGGGCTTGCCAATCCGGTTTCGTACTGATGGATCAGTATTTAACCTTAGGAGGCTTCAAGCTAAAACCAAGGTCAAACATACCACGATCAACGAGCTTCTGTTTGCAGACGATTGTGCCCTTAATGCTCCATCAGAAGCCGTCATGCAACACAGTGTTGATATCTTCTCAGAGGCCTGCAATAACTTTGGCCTCACAATCAACACAAAGAAGACTGAGGTGATGTATCAGCCAGCTCCCAGTAAGCCCTACGTTGAACCCAACATCATCATCAGTGGACAGCGTCTCAACCCGGTGGATAAATTTACTTACTTGGGCAGCACCCTCTCTAGATCTGTCGTCATGGATGATGAAATGAATGGCAGACTCGCAAAAGCTAGTGCCCTATTTGGCAGGCTCCGCAGCACTGTTTGGGACAGGAGAGGTATCAGTCGTGAAACAAAGCTCAAGGTCTATAGCGCAGCAGTCCTCCCGACACTGCTTTATGGATGTGAAACGTGGACTGTCTACCAGCGTCACGCCAAGAAACTGAATCATTTTCACACTACCTGCCTCAGGAAACTCCTCGACATCAGGTGGCAAGACAAAGTCCCCGACACCGAGGTCCTCGCTAGAGCGAACCTACCTATTATCTTCACCACTCTGATGCAGTCTCAGCTCCGTTGGATGGGACACGTAGCCCGTATGGCAGACCACCGGCTCCCGAAACAATTATTCTTCGGAGAACCCACGATAGGCAAGCGCTCCCAAGGAGGCCAAAAAAAGCGTTACAAAGACTCACTGAAAGTGCCACTAAAGGCCTTCAGCATAAACCCTACTCAATGGGTGCAGACAGCCCAGGACAGAGCCAGGTGGAGAGCTGCTGTCAAGAAGGGGGCTAAATCCCATGAAGCTAATAGAATAACCACAGCTGAGTCACCCAGGCTTGTCCGAAAGAGCAACATTAGGTCATCGTCTGAAGCAACTATTCCATGCCCACGGTGTCATAGATTATTCCGAGCAAGGATCGGTCTATCAAGCCACCTAAGAGCTCACCGTAATCCCACCCCACCCGCCCACCGCCCGCCCCTAACCGGATGATTCCATGGTCCTTGTCGACTTCGACGGACGAACAACAACGCAAGTAATGTTACGACTTATTAACTATTAGACCTAACGAATAATAAGTACTATTAAATGTTCAAAATTATTAGTTCCATTAATTTCTAGGTAGGATCGCAACCAGGGCCGGCTCAGGGCGGGTACGATGCGTGATCATCACACAGACGCCAAGGCGCCCACACCGAATTTGAATTTTTAAAAAAATTTTGTTTAGATAAAGATATAACAAAATTAAAATTCTGAGCTCTGCCCATAATTTTCCAGAGGGCGACACGTTCCTATTTTCATCCAACTTAAAAATGTCTAGCGCCGGCTCTGCTCCCAAACAATGTCCATCTGTTTGTTTCCCCCCCCCCCCCCCCCAAAAATTTCCCTCTTTTTTTTTCCCCCCCCCCCCCCTTTAATCTACGTTTGATGTTTCGACAGTCTCACGAACCCTCAAGCAACTCGGTTAAAACCCAGTGTAATACACAGAGGCGTCACTAGGATTGGTGTCACGCGGTCCGGTAAACTCATGGGCCCCCCCTCACAACCACACACGGACCTTTTTTCGGGCCTCCCTTCCCCCCCTCCTCCACACACCCAAACGGATCAGCACCTAGTAATTCTGAACCAGTTCATACAGAATAGAGAATTTGCAGCCAACCCCATTAAACCTCTTGTGGGCCGCGTGTGGGCCTACTTACCTTACTAACAACTAATATTAAAATAAATACTCTCTAAATGCTGTAAAGAGTTCTATATCTTTTCTGAATGCAGGTAATGATATGCTAAATAAAAACAAATAATAATAATAATTTAAGTAATGTGATATTTTGTTCTCTCACTCCACTTTTTTTAATCGATTTCGATGTGACCTGAATTTGCCCCTGAAGCAATATTTGACTCGGCGGTCAGCGGGTTGCTGGCCCTGGCCTTTTACTTCTTTGAAAATAATTTCCTTGAACAACCAACGATATAAGGAGGAAATATAGAATTTGAAGTAGAGGGCTTACAAAAAAAAAAAAATGAAACAAAATTTCTATTTATTGAAACATGAAACGTGACCGTTAGAACGTTAATTTCCTGTTCTCTATGGAACCAAGTGATTCGAATTTAAATGGAGGGAAAAAAACAAAAAAAAACGTCAACATGTTTTATTTTTTTATTTATTTTTTAAAAATATTTTCTGCACATACTTTCTCTGCGTGATGTACTTTAAGAAATTTTAAATTATTTTCTAACTTTTAATTTCTTTAAACTCATCTGATAGGAAGTCTTTTTAACGTATATATATATATTATATATATATAAGCTATTGCAGGTAGAAATAATGCAAACAATAAATAATTAGTTATCATTTTATTTCCGAGTATAAAAGATACAATTGTATATGTACGTATATATATATCATCTACAGCAGCGTTCATCCAGAACATAATTGATATTGTCGAAGACAAAAAAACATAAACAATCTGTAAATGTCGTTGAGTACATTTGAGAATAACTTCTTATGAAGATAGAGCTATTTCAAACAGTACCACATGCATGTAGAAATATTAATACATTTTTTTTTCATAGATAATATTGATAAAATATCAATCGCATCAATTTTATTTTTATAAATCAGTAAGGAAACTTTAATTTTTACATTTAATTGACAGGAACAATAACAAGAGACAGGTAATAAGACTTTTTTTTTTATTAAAAATTTTTTTTTTTAATATGTACGGACCTATTAGGCTGTGTTCCATATCTGTATAAAATAGATTTTTCAAATACCTCCCCTACAAGCTCTCAAATGGATATGGCATTAGATTTAAATAGACATAGAATATGCCATATAAACTGTGTGTCCATCGGAGACAATAACAAGTGTTTGATTAAAATTGAATTAGTTTGATAATAATTAGACTAAAGCAATATTAAAATAAATTACAAAATTAAAAAAAACAAACAAATAAAGTATTTTAACACATACAAAAAAGTAAAGTACGTTAACCCGTTGTGAACTAATGCCATTAAAATCAGACCTATTTCTCGACATTTATGTGCAATCAAAAGTCTATTCAATCTTGCACCAGGACAAAACCATTAAACTCACAAACATGAAAGGAAATATTTTAAAACATAATTCAGTTAGCTTTACGTTGAAAATGAAACATATCATTACACGAATTGAATGCTTCACCATAATAACTTAGAGAACTCTCGATTGTTTTGATGCAATGAATCACCAATCAATCGTATCGACTTCAGCGTCTTCCATTATTTATTCAAGGCATTAACATTAGTCGTATATCAAGTTTAATTTTGTTTTAAAAATCGAATATACAAAGTTTTAAACTTGAACTTTTAAAAAAAAAAAAATCACCTTCAGTTTAATCTTCTTGCATATGTCAAATTTTCTTATTCCCTTATTTGAAAATAACAATGGTATATCAAATAGATATCAATATGTGGGTGTTACTCATACAATTACATTGAAAATTTCTCTGATACAAAAGGAACACACTTGAACTTTTTTCACTGAACTGCGCAGAAGGGCTTCTTCTCCAGCTTTGAGTTCAATCCACGGGTGTATTTGGTGATCTGTCTGAGCTGTAGCCCTGGGTTGGCCATGATTCCGGTCAGTAGACTTACCAAGTTCTTCATCAGCGCTTCCGCCCTCATCCCATTCATGACGCATTCCTTGTAGCCGAGGTTGAGCACGACGATCCCTTTCATGAGATTGTGTTGGATCAGGAGGTTGGTCTCCAGACCCATCGGTAATATGGCCGGCGGTGGCTTCACACCGTTTCCTCCCCTGGAATTGAACAAAGAGGCGTCCCCGTCTGACACCATCTCGATGCTGATGCCGTGGGGGCTCTGATCGAACATCTCCATTGTCCTCTCGGCTAGCCCCTGGAACAGCGTGAAGGGCAGCACGCCGTGGTCAATGTGCTGCTGAATGCGTTTGTTGTTGCTAATGATGAACTCTTGAATGGTAACTTTAGCGGTGTCGTCAAACTGTGCCAAGAGGGGGATTTCATTGCAGTAGTTTGCAATGTCGTGGTTGAGGTCGTTGACGTAGCGGCGGAGGTCGACAGGGAACATGAGGCTGATCATGGACTTGCCAGTCAAGATGTGAACGAGGGCCTGGTACGCTCCCGCGACTAGACCTAAGAGCGATACGTGATGGAAGCGGATGAAGTTGGTCATTTTTTGCGTGAGCTCCGGAGACAAAAGTGTTCTGAGACTTCCGTTGGTTGCAATCATGGCCCGGGGTGGAAACTGATTCTGTTGTCCACGAAGAGACGTACTTGCAACATCCTGGCTGAGGGTCTTGGCCCAAAATTGAGCAAATGCTTCAGATTTCGATTTGTAGATTTTGTCCAGCTCGACATTGAAATCTTCCGACTGCGACATCCTCCTCTCAATGCTTCCTTTTTCTAATATCGTTTTCTTTAAGCTTGGATCGAATGCAGCGACCAAGTCTTGTATGAATTGATAAATAGCCCTAACATCAAAACCAGCCTTGTGGAAGACAATTCTTAGGTTGGTCTTTGAACCTTGCTGTAGAACAAACCGAAGGGGGCCTTTTTCCTTCACGTCGAAAGCTTCTTCTGAGAATGTCTGCAGCTCTTCGCCGTCCTTCGTGACGACCCTAAAATCAATGGCTTTTTCAGCTTGGAGAACCTGCTTCTCAAAGTTCATAACGCTTGTTCTCTTGGACACGTCCTCTTTGAAGACAGTGCAAGCTGTGGGATGCATTTCTAGTGCATTAAGTATGGCTTGGCGAACAATTTCCGGATCTTTCTTGTCAGCAGGAATCTCAACATCAACAACCCCATGCAAACTTTGCTTCCTGGGATGTCTCTTATAAATGGCAAGTTGACTGGACTCAATGGTCGACGCTGGAAAACTAACGCGTCTCTTGGGCGGTGGTGGTTCGATCGCTTTGAGATCTTTCTTCTCGTCTTTGTTGTTTTCAGCATCGGCCGCTTCAATGGCCAGCTGCTCAGCGTCCGGTCCGAATTCGGAGCCTTCGGCCAGACGACCGGACAGTACGTCGTCTATGGCTTGGGCAATGATTCGAACAGTAGGGTCTCCGCTGATGAAAACAATTGCCGGAAGTCTGCAGTGAACTTCTTTGTAGATCTGATTGATCATGGTCATCGCGACGATGGAATCCATGCCCATATCGACGAGATTTGTGTCGGTTTTGATGGCGTTATCCTCCGCACTGAGAACTTGACTGGCCAATGCAATGACATAACGCTCGTACACGTCAATACGCTGGTCTGGTGGAAGATCCCGTGCCGTTTGCAGTGCGAGGAGGATATCCTCCTCAATCTTCACCTCCTCTGCTGCAGATCCCAACATTGTCTTAAGTCGGTACTGAAAGGGAACAAGCATGTCTCGCTTTAAGCGTTTCAGAAGTATCTCGTCATCAAACTTGCATGGCAGTATTTGTCCCCAGTCGAGGAGAAGAATAGGAATGATCACCGCAGATATGTCTTCTTCACTGAGCAACACAAAGCCTTGGGCTTCCAGAATCTTTTTGGCTTCATTGAAGTCGTTCAACATGCCTAGATCAAGAGCACCCCAATTGATGCTTTGGCCCGAGAGCTTCCTGTGTTTCCGATAGTGAGCGATGCCGTCCATAAATGCATTTCCAGCACCGTAGCTTGTTTGACCTGCGTTTCCAATAACTGAGGTTACTGAGGAATGCAGCACAAAGTAATCAAGAGGAAGATCTTTTGTTAATTGATGCAGGTTCCATGCGCCCATCACTTTCGGAGACATGACTTTGGCGAAAACCTTTGGATCTATCTGCACCAGAAGCTGGTCGTCAACTACGGCAGCACCAAAGAAAACTCCCTTGAGGACGATGTTGGGATAAGCTTCTTCCATGGCGGCCATAAAGCTCTTGAGAGAGTCCATGTGTGTGACATCAGCTTGAAAAGCTTTGATATTACAGTTTTCGGATGCAGCAAGTTGTGCTATTTCCGCCGTCTTCTCTATGGTTGCTTGTCTCCTGTTGAGGATGGCAATGTGCCCAGCTCCATTCTGAGAAAGGAATTTAACAAACAACCAACCCAGACCCGTGAGGCCACCGACGACAATGTACACAGCGTCCTTTCTAAACAGTTCTGACTTCTCCACCCGGACTACAGAGCTGTTCATTTTTGTGATCTGAACCTCCAGCAGTTCATCCAGATCAGCAGCCGCGTCTTTATATACACCAGATGTGATGGGATTCTTGTGAAGGCATTCAGCGACCCGGGACATTAAGGGCGAGTGTTTACTCATCCATTTTTTCACCTTGGGGACGATCCTGGTCAGACTTTGGGGATGGAACACTACAGCGGTATCCAACAGCTTCAATTCTACAGTTGGTAGGAAAAATGAAAGAGGGGCCCTTGCAACTGGTTCTAACAGAGTTGTCACCGAAATGTAATATTTGGGTTGCAGCCAGCGCCGTGCTACGATGGGAATGACGGTCTCGTCCATCAAGACGAGAGAAATCAGGGTTTCGTGTAAGGTCTCCACATTGTTTAGCTCTTCAACCACCACCAGGTTCACGTTCGATGCTTTGGGTTTCCTCCTGCTCATCAGCAAGCACACTAGAACTTCCCCAAGCCTTGCTGTTGCTGACGACGCAAGGATCGTAGCATTCTTGGTCGGGACTAGATCTTTCAGAGACCATAGAAGAATGAGCCGTGTCAAATCTCCAGGCACGTAATCAGCAATCATGTCTGCAGGGATAGTGGTATCCAGTGGGACTTTGATTTTTGAGCCGATAGGCGCAGGGTAGCAAGAAATCGCAGGTATGTTATATTTTACCTGCTTCTTAGACAGGCAATCACCTTTGACCGGTCCGATGTTTTCCAGAGCAAATAGAGGATACCCGTTGCCTTTAAGGGTCCTTCTCTTCTCCATGACACTGTACAGCATGGTCATGTTGAAGAGAAGGGGATTCTGGAAAGCAGTGGCAGACACGTCTATCTGAACGTGGGCCTGTGTCTCGTCCTTGACCTGTGTCTCGTGGTACACGGGGAACGTGTCGGTTAAAACCATGGGCTCCTTGCTCAAGAGAATGACATTCTGAGACTTGTCGGCGTAGTTGTGTCTGAATGTAGGAACAGGGGTCTCGGAATCAACCATAACAAACTGGTTGACGTACAATTCCTCTGACGTGGCCATCCACTCCGGGTAGTTCTTGAGGGTGACGTCGCCGTTGATTATTTCAGCGATCGACCCGATGTAAGGCAGCGTGCATGTCTCTTCTGGGAGGTGAAGGTCAATGGTGATGAGGTCGGTGTACACCTGCTCTTTGAGTGCACACCTGGTCATGCCCCACAATGCCGTCATGACTGGATTGATGTTCTCCTCCTCCGGCGGTCCGTTCTCAAAAGGAAAAGCCCTCTTTGTGAAGACGTAAATTGGTAGAGTCAGCGTTTTATCCACAGCGTAGGAGTATATGCTTTTCAGCAGCATGCACAGGTTCAGCGTCTTTGCGTGGACACTGAATGCGTCCTCTGTTTCACTGATGGTCACGTTGGTCAAAATGACGATGAACTCGTAGTCGGACATTTTGTTTTTGAGTGCCAGGTCCAATTCTTTGGCCACGGCCTCCCCCGGATCGTCCAGGAGGTCATACTGAATGCACTTTTTGAACAAGGAAGACGGGGTCTCACTGGGGATGTGGTCGGTGACATAGAGTATGTTTGGCTTCTTGGTCTCATGAAGCGGGTATTTAGTCTCAATCGGCTTCCAGATACATTTGTACATGTTTTCAACTCCACCCGACTTGTCTGTCAGCGATTTGATGGCCAGGTCTTCAAGGTCGGCAATGACCTCCCCGTGCAGCGTTGTCAGTTTGATGTCGTAGAGGGTCAGTTTACGGTCGGTACTTTTCAGTGTGGTGAAAATGTACATCTCGTCTTCAGTTGGCCTGTAGGATGTCAGCTTTCCAATGGAACGAGGAAGAAGATCCCTTGCATCATCGACCCCATCCATTAGGATCACAGATGTCTGAATCATGCCATCCAGAATGGATGGATGGATGGTCGTCCCAGCTATCTCAATAAACAAGGCCTTGGGTACAAAGATTTTTGCCAAACATTCCTGTGAGCTTCTCTGGGCGTACATCAGAAGGCAATAAGCCGGTCCATACGTAAACCCGAAGCTTTTTAGGGTTCCGTAGATCTCCTCGCGGTCAACAATCTGCGGACATCGCCCTTGAATGTGACGTATGTTGATGGTCGGAGGGTGGCCTCTCATGTTGTGGGCCTGGAGATGGATGTTGGCGAAGGTCTTGTTTCCCTTAACCACTGCGATGTTGTAGCTGTCGTACTTCTCCACGCCGTAGCCTCGGGGCGTTGATTTTTTCATGACGAGATCCAACTCGACGGCCCCGTCTCTGGTGAAAGAACACGGCTGCTCAAACCTAACCCCTACTGTGTACAGAGGTGCATTCATGGCGTAGGTGTGCATGGCCACGGCGAAGCCAGTTTCAGCATAAAAAGCTCCTGGTATGATCAGCATGCCTGAGACAATGTGGTCGTATATTGAAGGGAAAGTCAACTGAGTCACCATGCATTTGTATTCATCCGTTGTGTCCACTTTGTTGAGGAAGGGATGCTCTTTTCTCATGTAGTGGACCCCAGCAAGCACCATGTGCGCAGACTCGCAAAGCTGCAAGCTTCTCCTGGGGTTGAAACTGTATCTAGGAATAGGTGTGACTATCTTTCCCTCGTGAGGAAGGTTTTCCCAGTCTATCTTGCAGCCCAGTTCGTAGACACTGACCAGCGCTTGGAGGAAGTTTCTCCATTCTGGTGGTTTGGACATGGACACGACCGGCATGACGTCATCTTTGGGGAATATGTCATTGGCATGAGCTCTCATCACCGGCTTGGGTCCCACCTCGATGTAAACATTCTTGTAGCCCTTGGTGAATGTTTTCTGTACAGCCTCAAAGAATCTCACGGGCTCCCTCATGTTGTTCACCCAGTAGTCTGGCCCCAGCAGACCAGTGACAAGCTCTCCTGTAACACTGGAAAACATGTCGATTTCTGGAGCTTTCGGCTTGATGTCTGCGAGAGCCTCTCTTAGACCTGCCTTGCAACCATCGACGTGATGACTGTGGTAAGCGACTGGCACCTGAAGATCTATTAACTGAATCTGAATGTTCATATTCCTGGCCTTGGCCTGGAGATCCTGCTTTATCTTCAAAATTGTGTCCGAGTTTCCACTTACTGAGCAGGCGATAGGACTGTATTCAAGTGACACGTTGGCCAAACCTGAATAGGTATTGACAACCTCCTTGACTTTCTCCACCAGCATATTCCTGATGACGAACATTTTCCCACCAATCACCTTGGCCATGAGGTTTGTGCGGTGGTAGATAATCTTCACCGCGTCTTCCATTGAAAGGATTCCAGCAAAGTACGCGGCGGCAACCTCACCAACTGACTGACCAACCACACAAGCTGGGGTGACACCAAGACTCCACCACAATTTAGCAAGCCCAACCTGGCAGGCAAATATGGCTATGGGCGAGAACTCCGGATCATCAAGATCTGCTTCCTTCTCAAAACGGCCAGCAATGGTCCATGAAACATACTGAGATAAAAACCCATCAATCTCCAGAATGGCATCCCTGAAAGCGTTTGTCATGCTCATCAGCTCCTTGCACATCCCTTTCCAAGTTGTCCCCATGCCCCCGAAGACGTAAATGACTCGTGCCCGCCTTACCGCGTTCGAACCTTTGGCCCCTTTGTGTAAGTGATCGTTCAGCTTCGCAATCAGCTCGGACATGTCTTCAACAACGGTGGCAAAGCGGATATTGTAGTGGTCCCTCCTGGAAGTGGAGGTGTAGG